GTATTTGTAGGGGACATTATATTTTGGCCATGGTGAAAACGTTTCGTATCTTGATTTTTAGGTGATACCGGTGACAACATAAATATAAAAAAGCAAAACGGTTTTCAATTATGGTCAGACTAAAATTATGCGTCACATCTGTCTACGGTCCACTCGAGCGGCAACCTGACCGACCCAGGACTGATGAGCGCAACACAAAGAAAAGGGAAACGTCAACGAACAAAAACAGGGATTTAATTCTGCGGGCACAGAGTAACGCTTTCACAGCAACCTGCGGTTTTACCGGTATGTTTAAGTACGAACAAAGTTTCAACCGGTGCGCAGCCCTTACCCGTATCGAGAACCAACAAGGAGAGGGAACGACCACGCGGACCGATCTCACGTCATCAATTTCAATGGGGTATGTAATTTATTTCAGAAAACACTTTGTTATATTCCCATGGAATCAGCTCTTAAACGTCCCGATAGCATGAATATTATAAATGGCTTTGAGTAATAAAACAACAGAACCCTTAATCTCTGGCAAGCCCGTAGCGCGTGTAAAGGAATCACGACCAGCCATCTGAGCCGGCCACGGCAAAGTAACTGGATGCCTAACTGCCCTCAGCTGCCAATCCTGCACAAAGCTGACTCTCGCGTGCCCTCATTGCTGGGACCGCACGTGGTCGTGTGTTTGGAGAGGACGTTCTGTAAGAAAGCGAAGGAGAGGCAGGCCTATTTCCGGTTGTTATTGACAAATCACGCGCACTCGAGCTGTTTCTGCATTCTTGACTACCTACCTTTAACTCTTTTTAGTGTGCAGCTATATGTTTTATTGTATTTCAAAGTGGTCCATTTAAATAATATTTTTTTTCCTTGCAATGTGCAGCAGCGACTCCCCAAGTCGCTGTGTTTAATTATTTTAAACTAGTACACAGGCCTGTTATTATTTTTTAATTCCTTATATAGGAGTTCTTTGTTTCCGTTATAGAGTACATTATATCAATGAACCTAATACGCCTAATACAATGCAAAAAAACTGTAATTGCTTTTTTGTCTGATGAGTCAACAATAAAATACAAACTTTATAGCTATTCAAGCTATGAAATATTTTGCGGCTCCAGACCAAAAAAGAAATGTTTTGGAAAAAGAGCCGAAAAAGGCTTTTTGGTCAAAAAGGTTGCAAGACCGCCTGTCTAACCGCGTGGAGGTTTCACCGCGCGCGAGCGGTCAGCTGGCTTACTCCTGTCTATTCAACCAGGGACGCCTGGAGACGCGGCGGGCCTTGTTTCCGCACGTGCGTAAGATACTGTGGGAAACAACGAGGCCGGAGGAGAAGAGGAACCTAGTGTGGTGCAGGGCAGTGAGTGCTGACTGGAGAGAGCGAGCGCAAACAAGCTGAGCCTGAAGTAACTACATACGAAACCAGGTAGTAAAAAACATGACTTACCTGCTGCGACAAGTGTCAGACAAGACGCAAGCGAAAAAACTTTAAAATGCCGTTTTTTGAATAGATCAATCAGCTAAAACCAACCTGTAGCTGTCGATCCAAACTCACAACAACGTCCTAAAGACAAGAAAAAGCACGATTGTATTCGCCCATGACACTGCGTGGTCGTGTACATGTAACTTTTTCCAGTTCCGAACAGTAGCTGTAGGAGTTGGATCACACACACACACACAGCACCACACACACACGGCACACACCACCACACACACACACACAACAACACACACACACAGGCCACACACTACACACAACACACACACACAGGCACAACACCCACACACACACACACGGTCACCACCCACACGACACACGACACACACAGTGCAGAGGTTTGAGCCGCTTGAAATGCGGTTGCTTCTGCTCTGAAATGGAATATATTGTTACATAATAATAGACATTTAAATTTTTGATTTATCTCCGATTGATTGAATGGAAGAAGTAGTAGCCATGAAAACATGACCCAAACACCTAATTATCAACAATATTTTATTTTATACATCAAAAACAAACAAGGATGCATAGCCTGTATATAGAAGTATATGTAGTCTGACATTATTGCTATAAAAAAAGGTGATTTCACCATGTCATTAGTGTTCTTATCAAAAAGTACACATGTATTAGTTTGTAGCGTCCAAATCCAAATGTTTCCCTCAATGGCGCTTGTGCCCTGGCATGTGGCCTTTCGCCCTGAAAAAAACGTGTGAAACCGCAAAAAGGCCAAATACCATCCTGTTTTTTATTGTTGCCTAAAATGACAGAAATTCAACCTGTCCATAACTGTTTCAATGACATCGGACTGTTTCCCTTGTAGTCTAAATCTGCCTACAAAAACAACTCCAAAATGTAAACTGCCTAGGTTGACATTGGGGGTGTGGTTAAAGTAACAAATCTTTTATTGGAGGCCATAAAACAACTCATCACGAATACAACCAAAAAAAACAACAACCTTTAAAGCAAGATAACTAGAGTGTATCTAATCACAATCCAAGAAGCCAAACTGTCATGGTCATGTGGATATCGATTGAATGGATATTTCTTTTTATCCCGTTACTGCTCTCTGTAGATACAGATAGCTCTTACTACTTTAAATCCAGGCTGAAGAACTTTTCTTTTTGCCGCTGCTTTGTAAAACATTCCATATCCCACATGCGAGTTGTATTCATGAATTTTATAGAGAGAGAGCGCGAGAGAGCGATTAACATTAACAAGATAATCACAGCTTAAAAATTAATAACATGATAATCACCATTTAACTATGTCCAAAGACCCATTTCTTTATGTAAAAATTTTTGGGAATGGAAAGAAGAAATTAAAGAAGGCGGATGATATCCGATTTCCACATCACACGTATGATGTAGTTATATAACAGGTGTTCTGTGTGTCAAAAGAAAAGACCAGCCCAGCACACCTATCAATCATCAAACCCGTGGGTCCATTTCAGTTACGTGTTGATAATTACAGCAAAAGTATTCTCCGTCGGGAACCCTCCTGCAACAACACCACGCCCCGTTACTTGATCCTGATTCTGGGGCCAGGGAAGACATCCATCAAAGATGTTCTATTGAGAAGACGATCATATGTGACACAGAAGTTTCAAAACCGTCTAGCTCTTCGTATTGTCCAGAACAAGTGGCTAACGAAAATCAAGTCTTACAACTGCGTCTGGCATATTACTGTCCGCACCGAGTTGGCGGACTTTACTTTGCTACTTTAACATCATTTTGATGGGGGGCAAGCAATTCTTTTGTAGGGTTATCCCTACCCAGCCATAGGAGCGCTGCCTGCCACTGGTGAGGAACGGCGGGAGCCACTTCTGCACATCGTTAAAGCGTTAAATATTTTAACGCAATTTAATATTAAAAATGAATACTCGCGTTAACGGCGCTAAATTTGCAGCAATAATTTTATATATACTTGGTTTACGTAACTTGTACTCTCTTGCTTTTTTAATGACTGTATAAAACCATCCTGCGTAGTAACGCGTGTTTTCCACTGCACATTTCTAATGCGTCCTAATGCTTCATTTCTGCTAAAGCACTTTGCCGTAGTGGGAAAAGTTGTATATATATTTTCCCTTGCCCTAAGAAAAGCCACACTTAATAGTTTGAGTTTACTTATCAACAGCACCTAGTATGAGTCCCAGATTTGGGTCATATTCTACGCCGCGGCAAGAAACAACACCACCGAGCGGTCAAAAAGTGTGCTTTACACCGCCGTGAAATACCCTCCGCGCGCAGATTAAACCCCGCGAGCAGAGAACAGCCCTCTGCTCCGCGGGAATTGGGTCAGCCTCACCTGACGGAGTCGTTGGCGCGCGCGTGAAATTTTCTGACATTTGGGGCGGAGCCACTGACTTTTGATTGACAGCGCCAGAAACCTGGAGTTGCCACGGTGGGACTAAAATCGTGCCTGATTAAGTACTAGAGCCGAGGAGTGACAGAGCAAGATCTCATGTGACGGAATCTGAAAGGAAAGGGTGGCAGAATTTTTTTCGGCTGCGACTTCAAAATTCTAACAGACATCGAGCCCAGGTTACAGCCAATACATACCACAGTGCGGCCACAAAAAGTTATTTAGTCAGCCACCAATTGTGCAAGTTCTTCCCACTTTGAAAAAGAGATGGAGAGGCCCTGTTAATTTTCATCCCCTAGGTACAACTCTCAACAGAAGAGACAGAATGAAAAGAAAAAAAAAAAGAAATGCAGGAAATCCACATGTAAAGTGATTCTTAAAGAATAATGGCAAATTACGCTGTAAAAAAGATTTGGCACCTACAAACAAAACAAGATTTCTGGCTCTCACAGACCTGTAACTTCTTCTTTAAGAGCCTCCTCTGTCCTCCACTTGTTAACTGTATTAATGGCACCTTTTTGAACTCGTTATCAGTATAAAAGACACCTGTCCACAACCTCAAACAGTCACACTCCAAACTCCACTATGGCCAAGACCAAAGAGCTGTCAAAGGAACACCAGAAACAAAATTGTAGACCTGCACCAGGCTGGGAAGACTGAATCTGCAATAGGTAAGCAGCTTGGTGTGAAGAAAACAACTGTGGGAGCAATTATTAGAAAATGGAAGACATACAAGACCACTGATAATCTCCCTCGAGCTGGGGCTCCACGCAAGATCTCACCCCGTGGGGTCAAAATGATCACAAGAACGGTGAGCAAAAATCCCAGAACCACACGGGGGACCTAGTCAATGACCTGCAGAGAGCTGGGACCAAAGTAACAAAGGCTACCATCAGTAACACACTACGCCGCCAGGGACTCAAATCTGCAGTGCCAGACGTGTCCCCCTGCTTAAGCCAGTACATGTCCAGGCCCGTCTGAAGTTTGCTAGAGAGCATTTAGATGATCCAGAAGAGGATTGGGAGAATGTCATATGGTCAGATGAAACCAAAATAGAACTTTTTGGTAAAAACTCAACTAGACGTGTTTGGAGGAGAAAGAATGCTGAGTTGCATCCAAAGAACACCATACCTACTGTGAAACATGGGGGTGGAAACATCATGCTTTGGGGCTGTTTTTCTGCAAAGGGACCAGGACGACTGATCCGTGTAAAGGAAACAATGAATGGGGCCATGTATCGTGAGATTTTGAGTGACAACCTCCTTTCATCAGCAAGGGCATTGAAGATGAAACGTGTCTGGGTCTTTCAGCATGACAATGATCCCAAACACACCGCCCGGGCAACGAAGGAGTGGCTTCGTAAGAAGCATTTCAAGGTCCTGGAGTGGCCTAGCCAGTCTCCAGATTTCAACCCCATAAAAAATCTTTGGAGGGCGTTGAAAGTCCGTGTTGCCCAGCGACAGCCCCAAAACATCACTGCTCTCGAGGAGATCTGCATGGAGGAATGGGCCAAAATACCAGCAACAGTGTGTGAAAACCTTGTGAAGACTTAAAGAAAACGTTTGACCTCTGTCATTGCCAACAAAGGGTATATAACAAAGTATTGAGATGAACTTTTGTTATTGAACGAATACTTATTTTCCACCATAATTTGCAAATAAAATCTTTAAAAATCAGACAATGTGATTTTCTGGATTTTTTTTTCTCATTTTGTCTCATAGTTGAGGTATACCTAGGATGAAAATTACAGGCCTCTCTCATCTTTTTAAGTGGGAGAACTTGCACAATTGGTGGCTGACTAAATACTTTTTTGCCCCACTGTACCTACCTTTAACCTTCTGTTCTTCACAGGGGAAATATTATATTTTGATTATTTCAAGATGAGTATCTGTATAACATCTGTATTTTTCTGCTATACATTTTGCATTTATAAATATCTGTCTTAAAAGATACTAACTGTTTAGTTTTCTTTACCTAAGATGTATTGTGACCTAAAGCTCAGGTGATGATGGAATAAACAGTATATAAAAGGAACTGGAAATCCCATTGCACACTTTCCTAATGAAAACAAGACAACCAAATGCCCTCGGTAAATAACCTTGGTGAACTGGAGAATATAATTTGAATAGACTGGCAATACATTTGACACTGATTGGCTGCTTAATATGTGTGCATTTTAAAAGTAAACTGTTAACAGTTTACAAATTATACTGATGGTAGCTTCAAATACAGTTGTAAAAAACGATATTGTGATGACTGCTCTGTTTTGATTGGCGAATGAATGAACATCTAAAACCCACTTACCTGTCAAGATCCTCCCCAAGGCCGTAGTTCTGAGTGGCTGACAGAAGAATATCTATGAGATTTTCTGCAGGTGTGTGAGAGACATGAAGGCAGAAAGAGAAAACAAGTGAGATGAGGATGAAAGTGAACTGAAACTTCCCCCCCAAGCTATGATGCCCCCATCTCTGTGATGGATGAGATACGGCTGGCAGCCAGCCACTTCTTCATCTTTGAATGTTATACAACTATTAAAGCGCATTCAAATTTTTCGAATGGCCGAAACGGGAATGCGGATTCAGAGCCCAAATCCGATACACTTCGATAATGGCTCCCAAAGTGGGTAGGTCTGAGGACGAAAAGCTTGCGGCTCCGTGTGTACGCCCTATACGATTATTTCCTGAAAATGATGACCCCATAGCCCCGCCTCTCCTGCTCACCCCAGCGTATTGCTGATGCGTTTCGCCAACAACAACAACAACAACAATAGCGGATCACAGGGTTGCGTTCGTGCTCCATACGCTACTAGTAATATAATATAATAATAATAATCGTAATCGGTCTTATTCGCTGCTTTTGGTGTATTTTGTGGCGGAAGTACAGCCCCACTTACAGGTCCAGCATATGTACTACAGCGTCTCCAGCGTTTGAGCGTTTTCGTGTGGACGGAAGACTTTTTGGAAAACTACTTTGGTTCGTTTTTGTCTCGTCTCCGTGTGGACGGGGCCTTAATGACATTTTTCTTATTAAGCACAAAACTGAATCATGTTTTTGCTCTGGTTCCAGAGGTTGGATTAAAGAAACATTTCCACTTCTAAAAAAAGAAAAAACACTTCTAGGCTCATTTCTGAAATTGAGATGAGAAGAAAGAAATATCATTCTCATGTCTTTGTGATAAGTTCGGATCTAGCTGTGCCTCACTGAGCATTAAGTCTGGAAACAGTAGAAAACAAAAAAGCCTGGCCCTGTCTAAGGTTCGACAGGACTGGCTTGAAACCTGGTACATGGTTGGCCTCTTGATGGTTTGTGTCCACATCTTTACAATTACTCCTGTCACTTTCTATGTAAACAAAAGCCTGTCACATCTTATATGCTTACAAGAGTTCCGAATAATTATCTCCATTTGTACGATTTATTTTATAAATAGTGCAATGACACAAAAAAGACAGAATTGTTTGAGAGAGATCAGACTGGTGGAAGGATGCAGCCATAGGGTAACCATGAAAGGAGGCTATTAACCCTTCCTTCAAATGTGACGGCTCAGAAGAGGTAACACACTTAAGGCATGGTCGGACCACAAGATGTACAAACTAGCTTGTTTGAATCTTCCACAGGGCTAGTGTACTTTCCCAGTTGGTGGTTAGAAAGATCTAGTCTTAACCTGTGAGAAATGTAGTGCAACTTAAATTGTTTTACCTTCAACTACAAAGAGAAGAATGTGTAATCATACCTTGGGACCTCACACCAAATGGAGGCGGGTAATCACCAATCTTGTAGAATCGTTTGTAATTTGGATCAATGAACATTGGCGCCAGTTTGTTGAACCTGTTGATATAAAAGAAACGGGTAAGAGCAAGTGAGAATGAAGAACTGGTGTTCTTTAGAGCAATATCTGTGGTACACCCGTATGGATGTGTGTAGATGCACTGATTAATGGAAGAATGCTTAAGAGGATTTACAGCATCGCGTTACCAGCTAATCCACAGTCTGTCTGATTTCACCCTCACCAAAATAAACTTAAAGACGTGTGAATGAAAGGACAGAGCTGCACAGTGAGGCTCGGAGCAGATATCCAGTCTGACCTTTTGGCCACGAAAGATCCACAAGTTTCCTTGATAAAAGGGTGGTAACCCACCGGAAGGAAGGAAATCATGATCCATCCTCTTCCCTTAAGATTTAGACTGGTGGGTCAGAGACTAAACTGGTAGCCTTTTTTTGTCACAAAAATAAATAATAACCAACGTGGAGATAACATTGTTTTAAACCAACAAAGAAAATATAAACATGTGATTGATTTAGTTGTTACATGAGAATGATAACCTATTCTGCACTGCTCTTTATGGCACCAGATCGACTAAATCCTTGATGAAAGACAAACAAAAGAGTTCCCTTTTGCTTTCACATAGTACCCCTGTAAAAACACATTTGTATTTTGCTAGATCAAAACAGGCAATTGCCGATATCTTTGTGTGTTGGGGATTCAATCTCCGTGTTGCGTAGCCAAACGAAGTTGATTCGAACTCGTCAGAAAACCATCCTCGGTTATATCTTTCCACTGTTGCAGCAATCACCGACTCTGGCTAGGTCACAATAAACCCTTAATTCAGCAAATTCTATGTGAAATGATTCTCTTACTACCTGCTGTTTTTCCCTACTGTTTCTCTCTGCCTGTGGAGCAACAGTGGCTCTGATGCACTCTTTGGAAGCAGACCAATAAGGCAGCAAAAAAAGAAAAACATTGCCACAACAATAACAACAATATGGATACTTTTCCTTCTTTTTTCAACTTTGTTTCAAAACCTTTTCAGGACAGGTGTTGTTAGTTAGCATTGGGTTAAAACCAATGCTCTTGTTGTAACGGCATTGCAGGGACAATAGAAAAAGTGAGCTCATGATGATGTCTCAATAATGTGCAATAGATAGTAGATATTTATGTAGAAATCGGCAGGAAGAGAGCAATTGATTTTGTTAGCAGCCGGGCAGGACTGTCCTGTTGACTAAATACAAATAGTCCAAGGATCCATTGAGCTCTATACCGTAAAAAAAACATTATAGGGGAAAAGGTGAATTAAAAAAATTATTTAAATTATTTTTTTAGGGAATTTTACTTGTCTGTTGAAATGGTTGAAGTACAGAAGGTGTTGTATAGTGGATGTGTTTGCCGAATTGGGTCACTTGGATGCAGGTGGCATCCATTAATTTAATCAGGGTGATTTGGTGGCTGCTGTTTTTGCTGAATGACACAGCTGTGATTAGCATCAGAATATTGTCCATTAGAAATTAATTTATACTTTTCATTAAATTAAGATTTCTTTAAAGATTTAAGAATCACAGCTAAAGTTTTTTGGTAGTTTGTCAGAAAAAATGTATAGAAACATCTAAATGAATTACTCTACATAGTCCAACTGTCTAGTTACCACCTAGAGTTCCCTTTATAATGAAGTTGTGCTTCACTTTGCTTGTAAAACAAAAATAATACATTGAAGGGTATTTTTTTATTGCCTCAGCATGTTGTGCTTCATTTAATCTCCACATCTGTCTCCACTTTGAGGGATTAGGCTGTTAGGAGAGCCAATGTATTTGAACACATTTTAAAAAGTCTCCCATTTGGGAAAACAAAATGTATCTGAAAAGAAATAATCAGAAGAAAAAAAATCATTATCAAAAACAACTGCTAGTTTTTTACTTCGAAAAATGTTAACCGAGTCCATTTTTGAAAAACCAGGCCTACAAAAAGTACACAAAGTGCACAAACATTAGCTGTGAAAGAGGTAAAACAGAAGACAAATGTTTCTTTAACCGAGTCAACCCCTCCAGGTTTTGGCAGCTTGTTTCTTTATGTGAAATATCACATAAGGAACTGTAAATGAGCTCTGATTTGGTAACACAAAACAGCTGCTAATCAGTCAATGTTGGAAGGTCTTCGAAATAATTGATAGACACCTGAAAACACTTCAACATAGTTAAGAAATCAGCAACTAATGATGCATTCTACCCTTCTGTCCTCAAACTAACGCCACATTTCTATTGAATGGTACTGCTGTAATTGCCTCGTATGACAGAATTCCTCTTTTTTCTTGCGATTGTACGACCTCACTGTAGGCCAGGTGATAGTCTGCTGTAGGGACGGCACATGAGTCTTCTACGTGAATGGAGATATCTTTTCATCGAAGGATTTGAATTCAGGGCTTTATTGTAAGGGGTTTGCTGGCAGCCAGTTGTTTTAAATTTGGGTTTAAAGATCTGTTTTTTTTTAATTGAAGCGGATATTGTGGATGGCTGTATCTCTATGTATGTTCAAGTGTTAATTTTTCTGAGTCCTTTGGTTTTAACTTGTTATTAAATGCTATGAAAAGGGGTGAGGTGTCATCATTGAAAGCTGTGATTGACAGCTGTGAGTGAAGGATTTGTAGACTCCTTAACTCTCCATAACTGTTACAATTCTGTGTAATAAAAACTGTTTACATTTGATAATATAGGAATATATAGAGATCGTTTTTTAGATATTGTGTTGTTTGGCAGCAGTGGCTCGTCTGTTGAGACTTAACTTGGGAATCAAAGGCTCTGGTACTAGGAGAGGTTGCTGTTTGCTTCCTGACCACTACCATGGTGCCCTTAAACAAGGCGTCAGACCCTCACACTGCTCTACATATGCTGTATTGATGCTTATTTCTATGTGGATTTAATTCATTATAACTTCAGGAAATTGGTAACTGGGGATAATATGATGTTTGCATCGCTTATCCTCAATACTTATTTGTAGTAGCTTTGCTATTGCAACACTGTAAATGTCACTGCTGCGGGACAGATTAAGGATTTCTGCTTCCGATACACCAATGAACTGACTTATTACATATCCCCTCTGGATTATCACAGTCGCTTTCAGTCACCATGTTGTCTGTGCATATGAGAAGCCCAAAGACTGGTGCCCTCTCATTTATGACTTATAGTTCAAAACCTACAGTCTTGTAGATCTGGCGTTGAACATTGGGCTTGCAGTATGAATGATGACTTTTCCGGCGCTGCTGAATAAAGAGTTTTTTAACTCCACTAGATGTTGACATGTTTAGGGGCATATTTTGTTTTCATGATAGTCTCACAACTGTGCAAGATACAGTCAAGAAACCCAAACGGGTAATAATAAGGAAGAAGCGGAGTTAATTTTAGCAGCAGCGGAGGAACGCAGGGGGTCAAGGAGGCCCGGGGCATTTTACCATTCCTTCCTTCTGATCAAAATCCTACTGTGTTATTTTAACATGTTACAGCTCGGACTGTGTGAAGACACTTCTTCAATGCTGCTGTCTGAAGGACCTGGTGGGTTCTAGGGTTGCGTGTCTCTGGTGCTCTGAAAGTAAGTGGATAAGTGAACCGGCCGGAGGTTTTCTCACGCACTGGGACACCAGGGGAGCAGAAGAGGACAAAAATAGATCTGCACCACACATGGGCCCATTTAGACCACTGAATCTTCTGACTTTTTTTTATAGATAGTGCAGAAAACATAAGCAGATGAGGGGCTTTCACGGTGTGGAGACTCCTTGGTTTTTAATAATGCAGAGGCAGAAATGGGATCTTTCCTCTTTCATACCACTCTGAGCTGAGAGAGCTTACCATTAGGGAAGGTAAGCAACTTCCAACGAAAAGAGGCCTATAAAACCTATTGATTTACGAGTAGAAAACATATATTATCTTAATATTAACAACAAAGAGTCAAACTTAGTTATAACTGTTGGCATCCTACAGAAAAAAGAAGAGGAAGAGTAATACATTAACAGTAAAATCCCCTCAGGTAATTAGTTTTTTTATTGGACTCACTTAGTTACTTACAGTTTCCTGTGGCATCGACTCACTGCTTAGATGGTAAGAGCCCTTTCCCAAATACCAGAGCAAACCATTGTATTTGTAGTTCTACTTCATGTAGCCAGCTTGTTACTCCATTGATTCAGATTACACACAATCCAATGATCAACTAACACGGATCTTTACAGCTTATGTCTTCCCACAAAATTGGAATATATCATACATTCTAATTATTATATAATTAATGATATGTCAACCATCAAATCTTCCACTGCATAGTATTCCTTTGGATAAATGCCAGTGTTTCCCCTACCATTGTCTTGGAGGGGAGCTGCGCCCCGCCAACGTAGCCCCGCGCCCCCCTGAAATTCAAGGAGTTTAAAAAAATACATTATAATATATTTTTATTTTATCTATACTATAAAACGCTTTCATTTTAAGTTGTGAGTTTAGTGCTTTTTACCCTAAGAAACACTGATGCATTAATCAATAACAATAATCCACAGCTCCTCTCTCTGTTCCAGAGGATTTTTAAAAATAT